TGATAAAAATGATTGTAATATATTGGACAATTTTTTATCCTTATTTGGATTTTGACGAGATTTACGTTTAACTCAAGTTGTAAAAAGAAAAAATTAAAAAAATGTTTATATCATATTTTACTCCCTTTCTTCATAATTGAAGTTTTGATTGTGCATAAAAAGTAAGTAACGCATATTCGAATGCGGTAACATCCTAAGCATACCTGTAGAATCAATTAACAGCTACGAATATGTTGATAGAGATCTACGCACTAATTAATGATTTCATGTTGTTGTTTTTTTCGAAACTTTTTACACGCCCGTGCGTATTGGCGTATCGGTAGGTAAGCCACTGTCATTCTTCTCCAGTATTGTTCTAATCATCATTTTCATTATTGGCAGTTCGGACACATTTACGAGGATGTTCTATTTCACCTCGCAACTATTTTAGCCACTACCTCTTCCAAATATTCCTTTGTGCACATAACGAGTGGCTCTTTTTTAGTTTCCGAACATTCTAAATTATCCGAAATTGTACTAAGATATTCAGAATCTGTGTCTGATTTATACATGTGAGTAAGTTTAAGTCTTTTAATGAGACTTACTTGAGAGTTTTTCTGATTTGGAGATTTTTTTCGTTTCTCTTGTTTTTTACTTTGCAGGCACTTTATGACTCAAATATAGTTCAATTGTTTGGTGGTGTGAGTGGGGTAACCGTCTTGTTTTGAATATCACAATCCCACTGATATATGACACTCTCACATTTTATTTTATCCAAATATTGCTTTTTATCACTTGATCGTTTCTATCCCACGCTACAAATATACTTCATCAACAAAATTTGCGCTTTTACTTTTGGAATAACCGGAAGCATAGGTAACCAGCCTAACAGCTGAAAGTGCTCTAAATTAATTTGACTTCCTTCATCAAGTTGAAGTACAAACATATATTCTCATTCTGAGTAGTGTTATGCGCTGAATTATAGGTTCTACTGAATGTGGATTGTATCACAACACAATGTTCCGTTTTATATTTTAATGTTTCTTTCTTAGTGGAATACCACAGATAATATATAACATATACATAGGTTATCCTGATGTTAACAAATTAATATTAAAAACAGTAACAATTATTTCTAGTGGAAAGCCACAATACAATGTTATCACTTGGAAATCCAAACTCTAACTGACTCTAAATTTTCTACATGTATCTTTACAATATTTCTAAAATTGATTTCGTTTTAAACTGACCAATAGAATTTTAATTAAATAACAAAATGACCAATCAGGTTTCAATACAAAATAATGTAACATAGCAACATATAATTTATAACAACAATCATCACCTGGATATTTTATCAGTCATGAGGTTTAACAACATGATAAGTACAGACAGCTTAATTGACCTTATCACCAATATATTATAAAACTTTTAGCACATTTGATTGGACAAAGAGGAAAAGCCGCATTTTAATCTTCCAGTTACATAATTTTAAATTTGACATCTGTTATTGAAACATATAATATTTGTAACTTAACATATTTGAAATTTCACAAATTTTGTCTTGAAAATATGACCTTTTAGAAAATGATTATATATACAAACATTTGTGTTTAAAAAAAAATCATCATGCATATTTATTCCTTTCTTTTATAAATGAATTTTATCATTTTTCGTCTGCACAACACTTCTCCCTCCTTTAAGACTATTTCACTCCTGTGAAATGAAGTATAATTACAATATAACAAAAATAAATATCATTAAATTAGAATACTGTTTACGTAAGATATTCAGTTACAGAAATATATACTTGAATATAAAGCACCGATTTTGCTGAAAAGCGTAAGTACCATTCACTAATAATATATATCCTAATCACTGTCTTATTGTAAACAACACAGTTTTAATGATGTCTATTTCTGTTGTAGTGCCCCCTCTGTCCTTGTTGTCTTCCATGATGATATTGACCTCTCCATTCATGTGGGAACCCGGTTTCGCATGTATTTGAAAGATCTTGATTTCTGTTCCCTCTTTTTCGACATAGATATTTTGTTTTGTCTTTCAACTGGGCAATTTCATCTTTCAAGGTGTGGTTTTCATCTTTCAAGTCATCTATTTGATCGTTCTTTTTTGATTCCATCATCATAATTTCATAGGCTTTCTGGTTGTGCTTCAATCTCAGTTGTTCATAGTCGTCATTTAGTTTTTTAAATTCTAATATAAGTTTGTCCATTATCTCTAATTTTGAAGAGTTAGCCCGAATTGTTTCCTTTAGCGAGTTGTTTTCTTGTAAAAATGTTTTTCTAAGTTGACTTATTTCTAATTTCTTTAGGGAAACCTCATCCTGTAGTTTTTCATTAAAATCCTTAAGTCTTTGATTTTTAAAAACAAGGGCCATATTTTCTGCTTTTAAACCGTTAATAGTTTTAGTCATTGAATCGGTCAATGATTTCAACTTCTGAAATTCTGCTGTTGAAACATTACTTACAGAATTGTTTGTTTGGTTCTCTTTAAAGTAGGCATCGTCTTCATTGTAAAATGGAAATGTGTATTCAGCTGTCTTGCGTCTGATGAAAGTTGTCATGCGTTCCTGATCGCGTAGTTTTGAGTGGTTTGACTTTTGCCTAACTGCTGGACGTAGACAAACTCGTGCAAAATGTCCAATTCTATTACATTTGTTGCATCTTGCCATTTTTGCACAACACTTCTCCTGTCTGTTATTATGATAAAGTCCACATTGTCCACATGATTTTTCACCTCTGAATGGTATTCCATATGTGAAACTCATTGTTGTTCTTCTTGGGGAATTTGAATTCATAGTCTCGCTTGCTAAATTGAGAGGTTGGGAAAGACGCTGATTTCCGCCACGTGTTATGCGCTGAATTATAGGTTCTACTGAATGTGGATTGTATCACAACACAATGTTCCGTTTTATATTTTAATGTTTCTTTCTTAGTGGAATACCACAGATAATATATAACATATACATAGGTTATCCTGATGTTAACAAATTAATATTAAAAACAGTAACAATTATTTCTAGTGGAAAGCCACAATACAATGTTATCACTTGGAAATCCAAAATCTAACTGACTCTAAATTTTCTACATGTATCTTTACAATATTTCTAAAATTGATTTCATTTTAAACTGACCAATAGAATTTTAATTAAATAACAAAATGACCAATCAGGTTTCAATACAAAATAATGTAACATAGCAACATATAATTTATAACAACAATCATCACCTGGATATTTTATCAGTCATGAGGTTTAACAACATGATAAGTACAGACAGCTTAATTGACCTTATCACCAATATATTATAAAACTTTTAGCACATTTGATTGGACAAAGAGGAAAAGCCGCATTTTAATCTTCCAGTTACATAATTTTAAATTTGACATCTGTTATTGAAACATATAATATTTGTAACTTAACATATTTGAAATTTCACAAATTTTGTCTTGAAAATATGACCTTTTAGAAAATGATTATATATACAAACATTTGTGTTTAAAAGAAAATCATCATGCATATTTATTCCTTTCTTTTATAAATGAATTTTATCATTTTTCGTCTGCACAACAGTAGCTTGGAATCTATTTTGCATATTCTTGGAAATGCCATAGTACCAAACAGAGCAGTGTAGGCATAGTCAAAATTAAATTGGATTAAAGACATTTACTTTGTATTATAAGAAGATAAAAACTTTTTCTATAAAGAAATTAAAATCTTTCTGACTGATGTTACCATAGTCTCAAAGTTAAAACCTTGGTTTAAGGTGGCACCAAAATATTTCGACGACTTAATAGAAGTACCATTACAAATAAAATTAAATTTAATTCCATTTGTAACTTTATTTTTGACGCAAATAGAATTGATTCTGTTTTCGCAATTAGTTATCAACTAAACAGTTACTAACTTGTTCAAGGTATTTGGTAAGCAACCATTTTAAGACCATTTTAAGACAAAATTAATTATTTGAGTTTTCAGAAATATTTGGTTCTTTATCGTACAATGTATAAAGTACCAATGTAAACACAAGATCGTAGATTTTTATAAATCTGAGTGGCGAGGCTTTTAGATTTACAGCCAGAGGGGAACAGAACAAATGGTGTAAACAATTTGCCTGAATAGTTGAAAAAAAATCTATGTATAGGTTAACGATCGCTTAATGTCGTTAGATTGTTTTATTTTAATTATTAAAAGAAAGGTAAAACCAATCGAAAATATACATCTTTTTTCGAAACATTAGTCAATTTCAAATGAAACATTTTGCAATAATTAACCTATACAAATGGACCGCAACGGATTTCATACTATATAAATCGACCGCAATGGGTTTCGGAAAGGTATAGTTTTGTTTCTGATTGTTTCCCAAAAAAAGGCAGACAGATCAAACGTTGTAAATAAATAATACAAAATGTACAGAACCTCGTTTTGACAGTCACGAAGAAAATTTATAGCTGTGTATGTCCTTTATAACTGACATTATAAAAGGTATTCTTCATAAAATATGATGAACAAGATCGACAAGGAAAGGCGGCGCTCAATGAACGCAGCCCCCACCCGACAGTTTTCAAGTAGATTTTAAAACATTTAGGACTCAATTTAAGTCATTGAAAAAATGAGCATAAAAAATAAATCTAAAAGTTTTGTTGCGGTCGTTCAAAAAGGTCACACTATTTAAAATAGTTTTCAAAAAGTAAATCAATTTCTAAAACATTATTCTGCAATGTTTTATAAAGTTGTACCTAGTATTTATAGAACACTTACTTGCTTTCTATAAGCGTGTGGCTGACAAGGTGTCGATGACATATAAACATACATTGTCTCATTGTAATATGTAAGATCAAAAAGTAATTTAATCAAACTTAATTTCTAAAATATCATTTTAGTATTATATAGAACACTTGCTTTGTTTTGTGTGTGGCTGACTAGATGACAAATAAACACACCTTGTCTCATTGCAAAAGAAACATAGGTTATGTTAAATTTAGTACGGGTACATGGTATAACTTAGTAACAACATGAACAATTGCGTGATATTGACCGCTATCTGTTAGGCATCACATCAGCTTTATTTAGGCAAACGTGATTGAATTCAGAATTTTTTATGTATGCATGACTTGGAACACTTATGATGAATGCATGACTTTTAAAACATACGATATATTATGATAAATGATAGCATACGTGACTATGAACATAAACTATCATGCAAAGGTGACAAAAAACTTATCAAGTTTGATTTTATCTATTCAATATGATTTCGAAATATCATTCAACCTTAATCTACCACGTGACTTATCATCAGTGATGTTATAAAAGGCATATGATCGTCATCCAAGTGTGAGTAGAGTCAGCATAGGTATAATAACTAACAAACAGATTAACAACCCCATTAATGGTAAGGTTTTAATGATTATAAGAAATTTACAATGATAGTAAGAGTGACTCATTCTCGCCTGAACTATGATACCACTTATTGTTTCAACATATCGGTTCTGTAGATGTAATAAACAAATCATAGATAAGTTTGCAAAGTTTAAACTACTTGTTCACATGCAAAACAAGACCTGTGCCTTGTAAACAAGACGTGTTTTATTGCCGTGTTTAGCTTTATTATAACAAACAAGTTATTTAGTATTTTTGTTTATTTGTGTCAAAGTATGATGGTGGCGGATATCGTCCATTTTCAAGCCGCGAGAAATTTTACCGTCAGTTTTCATAGAATCTCGCGGGCAACTTTTAAATCCGCGAGATTTTATGTCGAAATTGTATAAAATGTCTAGGCTTATAGAAACTCTCGAGTTTTTCTGTCGCACTTCTGTCGTAAAAAAATCGAGTTTTACGAAGGAAACCTCGACATTTTCGGTCTACATAGTAGACTTAGCCACGCAAATATGTTTCTTTAGATAGCCGATTGCTGCCATAATAATCCGCGATATTTCATGTTGGTGCATACCTTGTAACGAGTTTGAGCATTAAGCCTCGGAAATGTTTCTGCGCAAAAGGTCGCGTCTAAAGAGTCGCGGATTTCTTACAAAAAGTCGCTGATTAAAAGTAGCGGATTTTTTACTCGCGACTTTTTATGAACATTTCGGCCTATAATTTTTACCCTCCACGTTTTGTAATAGTTCTACCATACTTGCAAAACATGTCGCGGATTTATTTCTGTTCCTCGACTTTTTATAGACAAAAGAGGGATAAAATGTAGAGTCAAACCATGGACGCTACCGGCCACGGAAGTCAAAATGTTCCTTGCTTTTCCAACAACTGTTATAGAATATCGAGGTTTATACGTTCCCCGCGACATTTTGTACGATTTTGACAGAAAATCATGCAGGTTTGTAAGTTGCCCCCGACATTCCATGATTGATAAAACGATCAAATTTCTCGCGGATTTGAAATGGCCGGTACCGGCCACCATATCAAAGTCATATATTTTTTCAGAAGATAAAATTGGCTTACTTGATTGAATAAACACAGTGAGACCATACTCTTACGACATATGTTTTGTGCGGTGTCCAGTTCCACCAGCATGGTTTTGGTATTTCGACTTTTCATCATCGTGGTTTCGTAATTTAGACTTTTCAACATGGTAATTTCGTGTTTTCGTTGTCTCGAGTTATGTGTGTGACACGATGGCCCTAACAGTACACCGTAGTTTACAATATTGACAATGCAGTATAATGTGCTTTTTGTATTTCAATACCGTTAATACCATGAATAAATTCAATTATAATAAAACACGGAAATAAGATCATTTGATAACGTTTATTTACTTGTACTTCATTTTTCATTCATAAACCAATAAAAGCTACTTCCCGTTTATAGCTGTTTCGTGAAAGGGGAATGTTATAGGATATTCTAGCGTATACGGATAAACCCAATTGTTTTATATTTTCATTTATTGGCATTATAAATGCCTTTGATATTTTTTTATAAATTTATAAATACAACAAATATGAGTCCTAACAAAGATAACAAAAGTTAGAAATGACTGCATCGATTAGTTTGTACATGCGGTATTTCAGGCATTAGGGTGATTTTTTCTGCTGTACTGTACTAGACCTGTACAACTGATCATCTGATCTCAACTGATTAGTATTCTTAAAGTTAAAGTTTAAAGAAATGACTGTTTTTGTGTACTCATTGACTGACTGACTGACTGGCTGACTGGCCGGGCCGGCCGACCGACTGACTGACTGATTGATTGATCTATGCATACATTATTAATGAGCACTTTGAACTGCCTTGTCAACAAGCATAACATTTATATGAAACCCAATCCATAAAAGGTGGCTTTATTCGAATAAATATTTTGACGAGTAAAATATTGTGATATAACTTTTTTAATTTATTAGATTATAAAAAATCGACATCAAAGTATAAGGTAAAGGTTATTCTGGTTCTTTATAGTAGGCGGTGTATGATTGATTTAAGTCGCCTTTCAATGAAATACCACTGAAATTTATTAAAGTGTGACTTAAATCATCCAATGTATACATGGATCTTTAAAACGTATGATAGCAGTAACCATAATAGCATAATATTTTGTAATCAGGCGTCGCGTGTTATTAATTTACTGGTTATAAATGGTTGCCTGTACGTCATATCTAAATATTTTGGAGTAAAAGTAGGATAGAACATAAATATTGGGTAAGAAAGTCGTATCATGGTTTAAACAATTTAACACCTCATGTGCCCGTTTGTGCCTGAAATAATGTATGGAAGGGCACCTGACGTCTCCCTCCACCAGTAAAGCTGGAACGTCGCCATGACCTATTCTGTGTCGGTATGACGTAAAACCCCAAACAATCAAACAAACATTAAAGCACTCTCCATTACTGGGAGACATAACTGTCTATCATCGATTAATACTGAGTAATTGTATCATATGGTGTCATATTTCTGCCAACAATTGACCATATAGTTACATTATCCAAATACAATGTAGTTAGTTTCCATGTTAACACAATAAATAACATATATTTATCAGACTAACTAGATGTTTTTTCTGTTAGATAGATAAATAACGAATAAGTATCTAACTTCCAAAAAAACTCTAAAAAGTGCCCTGTATAAAATAAATATATATGTTATTTATCGTGTTAACACGAAACCTAACTATAGTTAGTCAGAAAGTTAATGTGATAATCATATGGTTAACTGTTGGCAGAAAAATGCCACAAGTATATCATTACTGAAAGTAATTAATAATCTTTAACCCATGTCACGCCGCATAGGAAATGTAACAAGATAAAAATGTAAGGGGTTTTTAAATAGCTCATTCGGAAATGAGTAAAATATTTTAAAGTCAAAAAAGTTCTACGTAGGAAGCTGTAGCTATTTCTGATGAAATAAGAGATAAATGGAATTCATTGTCTTAAAGTACAACTATACTTGAATGAGTCAAGGAGATTTAGTGTTATTAGCAGTGTTGGGAAATAATAGAAAATAAAACCAAGAAAAATTAATAAACCATATGTTTCACCTACTTGATTTTATACAATTCTCGCCAGAGAATTTAAACACAATTAAAACTTTTCACATTCAAAGAACTTTTGTCATAGGAACATGATTAATTATAAATATCAGAAAATAAATGCACTTATTCTTTGTAATTTGTTATTTGATCGAACATTCATCCTTTTTTCTTCATAGATAACAATCAAACTATACTAAGTTGTTTTGGATTTAAATTATCAAATGGTCTAAACAAAGGAAAAGTTCACATACGTACTTTAATAAAGGTATGACCCACCTCATGCATTACCTCCACTTTGAAGAGTACTCAAATAGGCTTTAACTACTGTCAACTGCATTGAAACTGAGGGGCACGGGTTCAAGCCCCAGAAGAGGCAACTTTTTTTTTCTTTCTTTTGTTTTCTTTGAACATTATTTGTGTCACTCTTGATAGGAAAAAAGTGTTTCATTTTAATTATAAAATTATTATTGGTATTTATTGGCTAAACTTGCCAAATTTATTATCAAATATGGTGCCTGATATTTTCAAAGTCTAATAAAATAAAAACTAGACGGTAAAATTATTTTATATTTGACAAGCGCATCCAATATACTTTTGAAAAAAATTATGCAAACTTTGAAAACAGCCCCTGATTTGATTAAATTTTAGGGATATTTTGAATAAGGCCCTCGAAGTAGAAAAATGATCAAACAACTAATTAAAATGGGTGGGGTAGGGTAACATTTATATACATATTTCAAACATTTTGAGTAGAAACAATAATTTTTCTGGGTCATTTGTTAACTTAATGCTTTTATTTGTTTCTTAAATATTTTCAATAGGAAAACATTATTTCATAATGATTATATAATAGAATGATTAGATTTTCTCATTTCTGAAAAAGAGCCCTTCTAATAGCCAAGTTTTACTTAAGAAAAATCTCCATAACTCGTAAACCATACGGTAAACTTTGTTTAAATTTTGCATTCTTGTGTCTTTTAAGGTATATAACTGACCTATGTTGTCAATTGTATAGTTCCTTATAGTGCCTATTAGGGGGCTCATACCTTAAGATACTTGCTAGGGATATTTGCCTTGACATTCTATGTCAAGTTTAAATTCTTGTTATAGAAGGTAGCAAAAGAAGTTCGGAGAATATTTTTGTAAACCAATTTTTTAATTTATCTATACAGTCACAATTATTTGAGTTTGTATTAATAATATTTTGTTTGAGCAGTTGAAAATATGACATTAAAAGAACTAAGTATTATATATTCAACATTAATGTGGCCTTCATAAGTATTTCTAGTCCTTATCTTAAACAAGAGGGCCATGATGGCCCTAGATCGCTCACCTGACCCATCAAACTCATCCAAAAAATTACCTAGACAAGAATTCTGACCAAGTCTCATTACAGGTGAGTCAAAAATGTGACCACTACAGTGTTAACAAGGATTACCCATATTTGAGCAGTGTGACCTAGTTTTTTATCCAGGTGACCCATATTCAAACTTGACCTAGAAATCATTAAAACAAACTTTCAGACCAATTTCCAGGATACTTGGATCAAAACAGTAGCAACTAGAGTGTTAACAAGATTTTTCTATTTTTAGCTCCGGTGACCTAGTTTCACATGCGATTTCGAACTTATCCGAGCAATTACCTAGACAAGCATCCTGACCAAGTTTGATGATAATTGAGTCGAAAATGTGACCACTAGAATGTTAACAAGGTTTTTCCATATTTGGGCGGTGTGACCTAGTTTTTCATCAAAGATGACCCATGTTTGAACTTGACTTAGAAATCAGCAAAACAAAACTTTCAGACCAATTTACAGAATATTTGGATCACAACAGTAGCCACTAGAGTGTTAACAAGATTTTTCTATATTTAGCTCCTGTGAACCTAGTTTTTCATTCGAGATGACCCATGTTCGATTTAATCCCAGCAATGACCTAGACAAGTTTCCTGACCAAGTTTGATGACAATTGAGTCAAAATTGTGACCACTAGAGTGTTTAACAAGGTTTTTTTCTATTTTTTAGCTCCTGTGACCTAGTTTTTCATCCGAGATGACCCATGTTCGAACTCATCCGAGCAAGTACCTAGACAAGCATCCTGATCAAGTTTGATGACACTTGTGTCAAAAATGTGACCGCTAGAGTGTTAACAAGATTTTTCTATTTTTAGCTCCTGTGACCTAGTTTTTCATCTTAGATGACCCATGTTCGCGCTCATCCAAGCTATCACCTAGACAAGCATCTTGACCAAGTTTGATGATGATTGAGGCAAAAATGTGACCGCTGGAGTGTTAACAAGGTTTTTCTATTTTTAGCTCCGGTGAACCTAGTTTTTCATCCGAGATGACCCATGTTTCGAACTCATCCGAGCAAGTACCTAGACAAGCATCCTGATCAAGTTTGATGACACTTGTGTCAAAAATGTGACCGCTAGAGTGTTAACAAGATTTTTCTATTTTTAGCTCCTGTGACCTAGTTTTTCATCTGAGATGACCCATGTTCGCGCTCATCCAAGCTATCACCTAGACAAGCATCTTGACCAAGTTTGATGATGATTGATGCAAAAGTGTGACCGCTAGAGTGTTAACAAGGTTTTTCTATTTTTAGCTCCGGTGACCTACTTTTTCATCCGAGATGAGCCATGTTCGAACTTATCCGAGCTATCACCTAGACAAACATCCTGCCCAAGTTTGATGATGATTGAGGCAAAATTTTGACCGTTAGAGTGTTAACAAGGTTTTTCTATTTTTAGCTCTTGTGACCTAGTTTTTCATCCGAGATGACCCATGTTCGAACTCATTTGAGCTATCAACTAGATAAGCATCCTGACCAAGTTTGATGATGATTGAGGCAAAATTGTGACCGCTGGAGTGTTAAAAAGGTTTTTCTATTTTTAGCTCCGGTGACCTAGTTTTTCATCCGAGATGACCCATGTTTCGAAGCGCATCCGAGCAAGTACCTAGACAAGCATCCTGACCAAGTTTGATGATGATTGATGCAAAAATGTGACTGCTAGAGTGTTAACAGGGTTTTTCTATTTTTTAGCTCCGGTGACCTAGTTTTTCATCCGAGATGACCCATGTTTGAACTCATTCGAGCTATCACCTAGACAAACATCCTGACCAAGTTTGATGATGATTAAGGCAAAAATGTGACCTCTAGAGTGTTAACAAGGTTTTTCTATTTTTAGCTCTTGTGACCTAGTTTTTCATCCGAGATGACCCATGTTCGAACTCATTTGAGCTATCACCTAGACAAACATCCTGACCAAGTTTGATGATGATTAAGGCAAAAATGTGACCTCTAGAGTGTTAACAAGGTTTTTCTTTTTTTAGCTCTTGTGACCTAGTTTTTCATCCGAGATGGATGACCCATGTTCGAACTCATCCGAGCTATCAACTAGATAAGCATCCTGACCAAGTTTGATGATGATTGAGGCAAAAATGCGACCGCTACAGTGTTAACAACTTAATGTGAACGGACGACGGACGACGGACAATCATCGATCCTAAAAGCTCACCCTGAGCATGCTGTAAATGTAATTTCAATATTTTAGGGATATTATATCTGTTCATAATTATGATCTCTTTTTTTTTTCAAAGTTACTTACGGTGTTTTTTCGGATATAAATATAACGATCAAAATGAAATGGATAAGTCCCTGCCTTTACCAGTAAAAAGGCTGAAAATTTGCTATTGGATTCCTTATTTACTTATCAATTGCAAACTAAATAGATAAATGTTACGTAAAACGCGAAACTACCAGTCACAAAATCGTATACAGGAAGTAAATAGTGTCAGAAATGAGATCTGGGGAATACTTAATAAATACTACGGAAGTTTGAAAAAGTACAAAAAGTTATGTGTTTAAAACACAAAGATAGATAGCTAAATCAGCAAAATTCACAGTTTTCGATACAAGTATCATTATTCATCATCATTATCTTTGTGATCAATTAATAATGCTTCCTATGGTGATATTACAAATGGTTAAATGGTAAATTGACAAAGTCACTTGATGTATAATTACTAGTATATCAAAATATACCGATGTTATAGCAAACTAGGTAATTGTGTAAGATGTTTATTCTGTATTCTATAGATATCAGACAAATGAGAAGTCCGAAAAAATGAAAATAAAAAGATTGACTCAAATGGCATAATACCCGTCTTACATATGATATAAGTAAAATAATTTGGACTCTGTTAATGTTCCTTCATATACATGTAGCACCAATACTGAGAAGTGATGACGTTGTAGTGAAACTAATTATGTTTATTTTAAAGACCCATTATGTCTTAGAAATGCTATATATTAATATTTCTGAAAAAAAAATCTTTTTGGTAACTTGTTACAGTTTCAAAACAAAATACCTTTATGCAATATACATGAACTATATTTGGCATCTTAAACGGTTTTTTAGGGGGGGGGGGGGACAATTGATATAATTAAAGTGTATAAGTAATTTGTATGGAAGTCAAAATACTACTTTGTTTACATTTTTCTACCTTTGCGGCGCCTAACTGCATGTTCAATGCTTCTTTTTCAGCTGTAAAACATCTAAAATGCACTTAATCCATTATTTAAACATTATTAAACACATAATTGACATTTCTAAAGATTTAAGAAAACAAGAATTTCAGAGGCATATTGTGCCTTTAAACTGATATATGAATGTTTATTAAAAGATCTACAATATACATAAAATATATAATGTTATATATTCTAAAGAAAGGCAATAGTATTTCGATTTGAAAGATTTACTATTAAACCATGCTAACCGTGCTTGATATGTAGTGAAATATGATGTGCTGAATTTGAGTTAAATATTGACGTAAACAATTATAATAGAAGTGTTATGTTTGTTGTTACGGTTTAAATTTATTTAAGAATACAGTCATCCGATGTTGTTGTGCTAATGTTAACCATATCATTACATGACCTATTATGTTTACGTCTTTTAAGTCACATACTATTTACTTAAAACCAGTTCAAGCTGACAATATCTCAATCAGTTTATAAACGTATAACAAAATCAATGACCTGGTTTTAAGACGACAGTGGGATAACTATGTAATGACGTCTTAATATAACTATGTAATGTTATCTATTATTGAGTTTACAAAGTGTGTCACACCGTATACATATACACATGTATTTATATATTTTGTAATCGATACTTTTAAAAGGTTTTGAAATAAATCATATGACATGAAAAATTCTGGATGACTTATGTGCCAGTTAGAGTTTGGCTACTGTAGTACGCTTTAATCTTTAAACACCCACCAACATCAGATATTTTAAATTATTAAATCGCCTATAATGTTATCGATGTGGTTTTTAAAGGCACATTATGACTCAGGAACAAATAAGTTTTTTTTTCTTTCTACAGAGTTTTATTATGTTCAAATAATGATTTTAAAGCATAATACATGCTAATAACCTGAAGAAAGAAGTGCTGAATAAACAAATATTTGTCAAAAAAGTAACAAAATGTAAACAAAGTAGTATTTTAGCTTCCATACAAAATACTAATTAATGTTACCTTACTTATTGCTAAAAAGCAACAAAAAGACAAGTTGGTTCAAGTAATTTTTTGATTTTAGGAAACTATAACTTGACACCAAAACTAAAAAGATTAATATGAGAAATTTAAATAGACATCATGGACCTTTAAAGGAACATATGATGATATACGTCTCATAACATTATGACATATTATAACATATGACCACAAAACATGTTAACACATTTAAATACATAATTAACAACAAGGCAAAACATATATTTCAATTTTAATAATATAACAATTAAACTATTGATCAGAGGTAAACATACATGTATAGCCTAAATATAGTAAGTTATACATGTGTTAAATTTTATGAGGTAGCTGTTACAAAGATCTATAGCAACACGGTAATTTTAAAAGCACCATACAAAATAAAGAAATATAAATTAATATCTACTGACCGACCGTGTGAAACTTATTTAATAAAAGGGACCTTTTTCACTCGTTTTTCACTCTTTTTAGCAGACGACCCTCGTGATTATACATATATTCCTACGCATTTGAACTCGAGCCGTGCATCATTCAACAACAAAACACTCAAAATTGATATTTATCTCGTAAAAAAATCACCCCACATTTTAAAATACTATGAAAGAAATCGTTCGATTTCAAAATAAAACAAAACAAAACCATCTGACATTTAGATAATCCATAAATAAGTTGTTACTAGCGGCTTGGCTACGAAAATGATAGTTATCAAGTTGCATGCACGTCATATTCATGCTATTTGTATTCGTTGTTAAAACCGAACTATTATTTATAGATAAAGGTAAACTGAAGTATGACAATTACGTACAAACCCACGTAATAAAAAAAATGTAATGATATTTGAACAGCTAAATGTGGAATGGGTGGTATTTTAATAACAAAAAGAAAAATGTTATTTCAATATGTACGAAGGTGTAGACAAAACAAAATAAAAACTAAGGATATTAATCGCAATAAGGCTTGGTGTAAGATTTATTTAGTACAACAATTTTAAGTGAAAGAAAACTTTATGCCAATGTTATAAGAGGAGCGGAGACCTAGAACTTAAGTATAGGTGTCCGCCTTTCAACATGAGGAATGTTTGGCCATGTTTATTTCCTGGTGTCAGTACTAGTTAGTTCAGAAACGCGAACTAAGGAGTGGTTAAAATAAGCTAAAAACTTTCCCAAAATCGTGCTTCAATATTTAAGATTCATAACTTTATTGCTAGGACAAAGTGTTTTGGGTCTACAAAATACTACAGTTGACAGTATCAAAGAATTATGAACATATGTAATTTTGTGATCAATTTGTGTAACCTTACGACGATTATTTTATATTTAAAATATCACTTCCCCATAAGCGTGATAACTAAACCCAAGTGATGTCAACCAAGGCATTAAAAATAAGTGTAAAACATAGTGTAAACTTCAAACTTTCAAGCTTTTCATTTCCATCAAGTAAACAACTTAAGCATCATTTTATAATAATTGCAATGAATAATGGCAGCATTTTAAGTTAACAAGTGTTGTTGTTTATGTAAATAGAAAACGACGAACACATACAAATAAAAATTAAATGTATATAGAGACTCCTAAGATGTAAAATTACAGATAAACAAATGTATAGCAAATATACATTTTACAAGTAAACAAGTACTCCAGGCATATCAGTGTTACATGTTTTTTACACTTTTAGAAATCAAAAGTAAAGCCCATATAAACGATTAAAAAAGTGAACATCAAATTTTATAATAAAAAAAAGTTAAATCGTGAGATCGGTGAAACAGTTAACATATAAAAATACGTAAGACTAAAACATGTAGAATAAATATTTACTTATCGTGAAAGGAATCATTCGATTAAACAATATGCAAAATAAAAAATAGTAAATGTTAATCAATGAAAATAAGGCGTAGATTTACGGCATTGCAATCAAACGTCATACTACAAATAGCGAAAAATTAAACTTGGCGCTAGCTGTATAAAAGCTACTGGGTACCTATTATTCTTCAACGATTGAAAAACAATTTCATTCATAAATACATGTATTCAATGTGGCACAGAGATAACAAAAAAACCTATGATCATATAACTACGCTAGCCCACATAGGGAAACTTAACTAGGTAATGAGACGGGTATTTACGAAAATGAGTGGTATTGCACTTTAATGGGTTACATAATATGTAGGGAGAGACAGCTAAAATACCAGAAGTCAGAGATAAGATAAAATCAGTCATAAAGCATGTAAAGTACAAAAAAACTTGATATATTAATATTTTGGCTTATCTTGGGGCGTGCAGCTCAAAAGTACTCAATGAACTTTGTACCAAGCCTTTTTTGTACTTTATGACTGATTTTGCATAATTATGTTAACCACTTTTTGGTAATGTTCATGGAGTATAAGATTACTTTATTTGTTCATCTAACATTTTTTTTACTTTTTAATACATTTCCAACATTTTTATGAAAATTAACATGAATCTTGAGGCGTACTGCTTTAACAGATTACTATGAAGAAGGCTTAAGTGTTATTTATACGTACATAAAATATAAGTAATTAAATGTATTGTAATTAACTTTTTTTCTAATATAACCAGTCTAACAACAGGTGGGTCACAAGGCCAATTTTTACTCAAATATTAGAATTCATTTGTCAAATGTGTAAGTGATCAACTATGTTATGTCAAAAATTGTATTTTTGAAAGATTTTTAAATGTTTTCTTAAATCAGTCACTCTATGTAAATCCAAGTGACCCTAACTAAAGCCATTTCTGATACTTAGGTCTCAAAATTTGAACTTACTTGAAGAAAACACATAGTAAGAGTTCTACATGACTATATTACAGTAAAGTAGTTTATACCTAGGTCATGACTGGAAGAAAATTAGAAGCTGTCCGAAATGAATCTTACTGTGACAATGAAGAATTATACACATATTATGCTACATAAGCTATGTTATTTATATCAAGTGACTCGCGACGAGGGTCAAGAATGACCAAATTTGTGATAGGTCAATCAAACAATGATACAGGGAATTATAATATTATAAACATTAATTGCTGTTTTCTTTTCGGCCTATGGCCGTCTTATGTCAGATTGACTTCCTGTAGAAGTAAATGTAAGTAGAATTATCATTATCATTGGTCATTTTAAATTACAAACTGAGATATGGGAATCTCTTAGGCCATTATAAAATAAAATGTTCTTGTCATTCTAAAATAAAGTTCTTGTCATATGCTATATGTATTGAAAACTTAGAAATAACATATGCAAGTTCACCAATTACACTCTGGCCGAGCATCATTTTTAAAGATACTTCTTCTTATATTATGTAAACAAGTGTATTTATGAATAAATAAACAAAACAATATCTGTAGAATAAAATGAAAACAGTGTATTAGATATAAATGATAAAGGACCGCATGAATGCCATTAAAACAATACAATTGTATATTAAAATATAAATAAAAAATAAAATTTGTTCTCAAAATGATTAAATACTTTGAAATAGCTTTATTTGCAATCATTCGTTTCTAAAACTAGCATGTAAAACAATGTCGATTTGAACAAAACTTTTTAAAAAAAAGTAAATGAAAATAGTTATGTGTAACGATCATTGAAAAATAAATTTAACACATGTAAATACCAAATAGGGTTTTAAAGCAATAAGATGTAAAAGACTAATATATAAACAATAAAACTATGCATCTAAACAAATGCTTGTCATTCGAATACAAAAAGAAACTCTATGAGCACCAATAAACTTATACATACAACGACAGGAATATTAATAAATATATGAATTTATATTGTGGACAACAACATGTTTTTGAACAAAGCAAATACTTCATGCTAAATATCATCTAAAACTTTATGCACATGTAAACAAATAATGAGAGAAATAAGTTTTAATCAATGAATTTTTATTTTTTTTTGGAAAATGGTGAAAGTGTTTCATATATGTGATAACATGTATGTATGAATGATAACAAGTGAGGTATAAAAAAATCACATTATAAGAATTACTGACCAGCAGCATAATATATACTATTAAAAATTGAAATATCAAACATTTAACTTGATATGCTGAATACATTTATACATAAATATTACTATCACAGAAACGCTTATATATTATATAATATACATAAATAGATTGCACTCATTGCGGATATATCAAATAACAAACATAACATTATACTTTTTGGCACAAGAATTAGAAAAGCATTGACATAAATGCAGCTATTATAAATTTTATAACATATACACTAGTTTTACAGTTAAACTAAGAAATAATATCACACATATGTAAATAACAACCAATCAGCTAAAAAATGAGTTCAATACACAACTATAACAATATCTTTGAAGAAAAGAAATAATTGTGTTTGATATATTATAATAATATTGCATTTAAATAAATGTAGCCATTATAAATTTTATTGCATATACACTATTTTTACAGTTAAACTAAGATATAATATCATATATATGCATATCTTAATACTATATAGTTATTATAGTTTATGTTAAAGATGACATGATTTGTATAATAGGTGTATATATTTAGTGACATCATTTGTTACAATATGGAAACGTCAATGAAATCATGATTTTTTCCATACTTTCATGCTATACAATGTTATCTGACATTCTTTTTTTAAATACAACCATTTAAAAAGGTGATAGTGAAACACGTGTATACATGAAAATAATAATAAATGTTTGTGCTTTACTGCTAGCTACTCTATTTGAAGGTCTGATGTAAACTAAATAGGGCCATTGTAAACTCTTTTTCGGTATTCTTACAAGTTTCTACATTATCAGAGTCATCTATATCCATATCTTTTTCCGCCAGTGTCATCAAAATCCGTATTTTTATTTCTCCAGAGTCATCCAAATCCATATTTTCTATTTCTCTGTTTATGCCGGGTATGCACGCACAGTTCCTTGAATAATCGTCCGACAAACAGCACATTTCCTTAAGGCATTTGCACAATCAACACATGATACTAAATGTCCACATGGAAGAAAAACAGTGTTGGCATCTTTATCCATACATACTTTACACATCATCTGTTCCTTTAAAACACGATTTTCTTCCTTCAAAACTTTTCTTTCTGAAAAATAAACAAAAACATACGTTTTAATAATTTACAATTGTATAAATGTATCATTGTGTCACTCATTTTTTTCTGTTATATACGTTCATCACATATGCATGCAGTTATACTCGCCAGTACTAATATGTTCTGATTGAAATTTTTAAAGGTACTGATAATAAAAAAAGAGGTAATACCTTCTTTAGGAGATAATTGTCTCCCGCTTGCAACAGGACTATTAGATCTTGGTGAATTACTACCATTTGTAGCAGCAGATGTATTACTCTGCTGCTGCTGTTGTGATGTTGATGAGGTCAATGTTGGAACACTAGCAGGTGTGTTACTATCGTCAAGTAGATATTCTACTAAATTCTGGGCTTTAAGTTCTTCTGATGGACCTGAGGATGGAATAACAATCTTACATAAATATAAGTCTTTGTACTCTTCGACTAAAAATGCATGACAAACCATACGATATCATTATACTATAGAATTACTAGTATGCACCAATGACTATCAAATCATTTGTCATATAAAAATCTGTGCATTTCTACGTCATCCTTGACAACATAACAGTCCGTTTCCATAAAAAACACAAGAGATATTAATCATGTATGAATTTCTGAGTACATTTTGAAATTCCAAAATAATGTATATATTTCATTGTTAAAATGGTCCGATTTCATGAAATTTCAATATTTCGTTAATCTCAGTTTCAAAACATTCCTGATCGAGAGCATATTCGGGACCAAGTAAATTTCATACAATTAAGAAAAGACATACATGTACATATATACACGGGCCCCTATTTTAAAAACATAACACAAAGTAAATGTTCTTCTTTTTGATTTTCCTATACGTAAACCTTCAAGACAAAATTGAATATATATGAACATAAGAAATAAAATATACCTATTCTTTGCCGTGTTTGTTTAATAGCGACTTCAACCTGTGGTTGGGTGTATCCCATGTCTAGAACACGTTTGGCTGCAATACTGTTTACATCTTTAATATGTTGATCAGCAACTAGATTTGTTTGCTGGGAGTCAAGATCTCTCACTTGCTAGAAAAAATAACATAAAACCATTGAAATTGTGACGGAAATATGGAAAAGTATGCATCTTAGGATATCGATCTAAGAAGAATTCATGCATAGCAAATGTGTTTTGGGCTTTATCCAAACTAAAATTACTTTGGCGATACATATAAGGTATCTTAACCTTAATATAAGAATATAAAAATCAAAAAAAAACTTTATAAACAGAAGAAATGGGTATGTTGAATTCTAAAATCTAAACTAATAAAACATATAAAAATATACAGGTCATGGATTTCGGCTTTACTTAAAAATAAAAATAAAACAAAACTGTTCCTTGCATACTTACAAAGTTATTCTGTGTTGGGAAGGTCATATTCGACATCTGACATAAATTAACGAAGTCTTCTCCCTTGCATTGTTTTAGATATGCGCATGTAGAGAACCACCTCGCATGCTCGATCCAGGGACTGTCCCCGTACTCCCAATTTTTCATTCCACCCCCGCAAAAAAAGCATCGGACTAAGTCTTGTGTTCCTGTAGACAATACAACATATTTATGAAATGCAAATATGTATACAGTTTTAAAAAGTTTTATCATATGCCTTAGAATAATGAAGTATACAAAAAATATTCGAAAACACACGGCCTAAATGATGATATATTGTAAGGTTACAAATGTTTGCCTCCAAATAAAACATTTTTTTTTTTAAAATCTATCAAAAAATGGAATTGAAAAAAGAGTTACCTTATGAATGAGTAAATGCAAACTGCTTAAATTAAACGTTTCATATGTAACAGTGTTTTGACTAATTTTTTAACATAGCTGGTGTGGTAAGAAAATCACGTTGCTTTTTTCTTTTTTTTCTTTTTTTTTTCTCTTTTTTATGTTTTCTTTTTTTTTTCTTTTTCTTTTTTTATTCTTTTTTTATTGTTTTTTTTGTTGTTGTTTTTTTGTTTTTTTTTGTTTTCTTTTGTTTTTTTTTTTGGGTTTTTTTTATTTTTTATTCATTTATTTTTTTTTTTTTTTGTAAACCACGTTGTTTTTTTTTTATTTGCTAAAACTCTCAAATAGAACTCTGTTTTTCTTTTCTTTGACAGTCACATTAAAACCCATTGGAGACATGACAGTTGTAAAATATACGATATGTATGTACTATCGACAAATCCATATTAATTCCTATATAATGATCAAAATATTTTGTTAATTAAGAGTTGAGCAATTAAAGAAGAACTTACATTAACATATTAGGAGACCATTCGCTAGCACAGTTTTGATGTTTTGCTACTGTACTACAATGGAAATTATCATTTTTTTATTTTTAGTTTTAGCATATAGTCGATACGTGAAACATAGCCTTTTATTTATAGCTATGTTTCACAAACAGGGACCTTAAAGCAACTAGTTCACAGTTCAACATGTTTTCTTAAGTCTATGACTATATGCATGGGTCTTAAATGATAATTTTTTGTACTTATGACGTGTTAAATACTGATAAATAACACGAATTCTGTTTATATTTTAGTTATTTCGATGGCATACTGTCATCGCAGCCACTCAGAATCATTTTATAGAATGCATTAATTATAGCAATCTATTTTTAGTATTAATATGCCTTAAACGAATGATAACTGGTGAACATATCCAAATATCTATTATATACACTGGTTGTTCTAGTTTTCTTGAAAATGTTGAAATTCAAAATTACTTACTGAAAAGAAAAATGAAATAATGAAATTTATCAGTTTGATTAAATTACAAAATTGTTTATCATGTCGATGTAAAATGCCAAACAAGTCATTCAAGTATTTCCGGATGTTTTCAATTCACATAACATGTATATGCAAAAACAAATGTACTTAATTATATCTTAAGGATAACCATTTATGTTTTACAGGAAAAAGAAAATAGACACGCCAAATTGTTTATATTATGTTTTCCATGGTGGAAATCTGATTATGAATGGCTGGGAGTATGACTTGCTTAGAATTTGATTGGCTTAGATTTTTATTGGTTTCACATACTGCAGTGATTCATTACTTCTGAGCAATATGTGATGGAAATTACCGGGATTTCTAGTAAATTATTTCAGTTATAAGAAAAAAAATATGAGATTTATCGTGGGCTTCATGGATTAAGAAATGTGAACAAGTGGCTTTAAAGTCTAATTATCTTTCTCAAATGAAACAGTTGTATGCGTAATAATTTATTACTTAGGTCATATAAATTCCCGCTTAAGTTTTAATATGTTAAGGAAATAAGAACGATTGTTTTATCCTTAATCGTCGTAATTCATTACATATGTTAATAAAAATTGTAGTGATTAAGTAAATATTTGATTTGTAGTTAGTTGATTTTTACGAAGATGATTTAATGAAATATATAACCGTTCTAAATTTTGTTTCAACATTTGATTTGTCGATAGAAAAAAGGCTGAATTGTATGAAAATGAAATAAAACAAAAGGAAAATAACTTGTACATACCACAAAAGAAAAAGCCGGCCTCTGTTAAATCCTCGGGTTTCATTACGTTTGTACTCGGCCAAAACGCAAATGATGATAATCTTACACTTTTGATCGCGTAGTCTGGGTGTTTTGGTCGTTCGTTTATTATTCCCGGGAAATGTTGGATGTCGTCTGTTGGAATGTTCTCAGAATGCTGAGCCCGATAACCATTGCCAATTACTAATTGTTGCCCACTTTCTTGAGAATTAATACTCGACGAGCTTAAATGTTCTGTAGTACTTTGTACTGCATCAAAAGACAGTTCTTGACGATTTCTTTGTTCTTGAGATTGTTCTGTTTCTACTCTGTTTGAATGTCTATCTTCTGGTCCTCCACACGCACCACTCTGTGTTTCTTTATGATCCTCATGTATGGAGACATTTTCAGTTGTCTCCCCGTTAATAAACTTACAATCCGGTGACAGCCGTTTATGAACGTCAACTACAGCTTCAGAGTCTGACCAGACTTCATTATTTAGTCCACAGGAAAAGCAAACGGCCTCTTGTCCATTATTCGTTGAATAAAACCCAGCTTTTGCCAGTCGTAACGCTGATGCTGGGCACTCTTCTGGAAATGTTTTAAACGATTCGAACCTTGCCCATTCATTGTTCATGCATTTAACGCTTTTATCGCTATTCTTCTCTAGCCCATTTATATACACTTTTAAAGAAAATGGATACACATTAACACTACACTGATATCCATTCGTCAATTGAAATAAAAAGTCATACGAACACATTTTCTTTTCATGGTTTGATTTTGCAGAATTCTGACGCCTTTTATTCAGCAAGAAATGAACACATTTTAGTAAAACGGCAATTTTAATCAAAGTTTCGGAATCTATTATTGTTAATGAATGACTAACGATGCTATCTTTACATGATGAAACCCACACGAAAGTATATTCCAAATGTTTTAAAACAATTTGTCTTCTTGACAGTAATTTCCCCGTTCTATTTTTAAGCACGTCGTTTCCCGTTTCGGTTACCATTTCAGTCACTAGTGAGATATTACCATGTTTTCCAAACTTTGATTCAATTGTCGAATTAAAGTCGGGAACACATGGTAATATTTTACTGGTGTTTGAAATATCCTTAGCTAGAGATTCCGTCCTTAAGGCATGTGTTTTATTTTCCGTGTATTGTTTATGATGCCCAGTAGTTAAATTAGTCTCCATCGTCACATAGTGTAAAGCTACCATGACTGTTAATAACAATACCATTTTAACACAATAAACACGTGTTCTTGTTGTTCTGCTTTCCATTTTTATCTAAACAAAGAAACAATAGATATTTATAAATCAGCTATAATACTTAAGACTAGATAAATCATATAGATAGGTATTAAAACAAATTCATATTTGAAAAAAAACAATCTTCCGATTTAACTTCATTCGGAAATAATCCGATACATGAAATACTTTAATAATATACCTTCTCGATATACAGCCTTCAATATTTGTAAATTAAACTATGTCTATCGCTCTATATATAACACAGCAAACGGGAATTCCCATAATGAGTCATAGTGTCATGTGGTAAAATTATTTTGTAATTTATCGCATGGATTGGAACTTTTCCTTTGTTTTTACTAACCCATTATACTCAGTACACTTCAATGAGCGTTTGAAAACTGTATTGATCTATAGCAGAACAGTTTTTTCATTGATTCATATAGGAAAAAAACTCGACTGCTTTATAGCGGTTGAGTTTTTTCGCGCCTGCAATTTTTTTTTCACAGAGGCTCCAATTGGGGCAGTGGTAACGACCATTCCCAGTAGCAAAAAAAAATTTTAAAAAATGGAATCAATAAAATAAAATAAAATAAATATATAAATACAATGAAAAAATATAAACTAAGACAATTAATGAAATGAAATTTACTCTCATTTAATCAATAGGTACATCCGCTGAATGAATTATTTCCACTGAAAAAAGCCCTTCAATTGGTAACAGTTTACAATCCGCCTCTAACATTGGATGTCTTTTGTATATATTTTTTTTTGCGGCATCGTAAACAACTTGAAAAAAAAACTGCCTTATCATAAATAACTGTAATGTAGCTAACGATTTATTTATTTATTTATTTATTTATTTATTTATTTATTTATTTATTTATTTATTTGTTTCTATTACAAAAAAAACAAAACATTATGTCATTGCAATAAAACAGTTATAGTATATAAAACTCGTTAGTTACGGGGTATAACACTGGCTGGGGCGACATCTCGGGATGTTTCTGCAAAGAAAAATTTTCTCGGCCTTACGGCCTCGACATTTTTATAAGATACACTGATTTAACGGGATATAACTGTATAGAATAACATAACATATTAGTGCTGATTTTGATTAATGCTTCCGAGGGATCACACTTTATAAATAATGCTTTCCGAGGGATACCACTAAAAAAACGTATCATTTTTTTAAAGGAACGATTTCATTGGAATCAACATTAAGTTCGGATGTTGGTATTTGTTAATTTAGTATGATTAAAAATGTTGTTACGTTTTAACTATTTGAATGACCACTGAATCTCACATTGAATATAATGTACTCATTTAAATGAGTCATATATTGATTACGTCATTATAAACCACGTGTCAATGACCCATTTAATTTTGAAAATTAAATGTTGAAATTAAACATCTTTTCTTCTCTTAAGAATTGGCTTTTTAAAGTCCGTGCCGTACCTATTAAACTTCGCATCGCGCCCCCACTAATTAGCGTGTTTTCGTCCCGCGACCCCGCCGTTTTAACTTTTTAATTCTCGACTTTTCGCTTGGCGGGGTCGCGGGGCGAAAACACGAATGGCACATCCACCATAATTTTAGAGACTTCAACTCCACACATAACTCAACCGCTTACAAATGTACGGTGACACAAAGGTGACATGTGTGTGTGTTTCAATTTATCTCGTGGCCACGAGATACTATGTCGTGGCCACGAGTTACTAAGTCGTGGCCACGAGATAGCTAAGTCGTGGCCACGAGTTACTAAGTCGTGGCCACGAAATACTAAGTCGTGGCCACGAGATACTAAGTCGTGGCCACGAGATACTATGTCGTGGCCACGAGTTACTATGTCGTGGCGAGTTACTATGTCGCACGAGATAGCTAAGTCGTTGCCACGATATACTATGTCGTGGCCACGAGTTACTAAGTCGTGGCCACGAGATACTATGTCGTGACCACGAGATATGTAGGTCGTGGCCACGATATATTATGTCGTGGTCAAGAGTTACTAAGTCTAGGGAACGAGATAGCTAAGTCGTGGCAACGAGATAATTAACCAATCAGAATACACTATATATATTATGAACTTTTTAAACTTAACAACTTACTTTTACATGCAACATTAGTCTTTGAAAATACTGAAGATATTCACTTTGAACTTGTCTTTAGGATCATATTAGAAAGTCACCTTCCAAGGCCCATCAGACATTAATTTTGACTATAGCTCTTTGTTGGGCAAGTTGGTGATCGAATTGGTCAGTTTGTACGTACTACGGCCTGTTAACCTTGTTTATACGATACCATGAGCAGGAATAAGTCCTGGTTTATTTTATTTGTAAGGAACATAATCATTGCCCATGGAGAGTAAATAGCCTATGAGGTAAAATCCTTGTCTGAAAGGATAAGCCATGGTTAATGTAACACAGAAAGATCATTGCACCTGATCAGTAGATGACATCTAATAATTTCGAGGTCATTGGGTCAAAAATCAGGGTCACAGTGACGCTAAATGTAAAATTATTGACAAGTCAATAAGTTGTATAAATGGCACTTTTACAGACTGGTGAAAAAGGGGCATCCTTGTACTATAACTATAGGACATGTCTAGTTAATTAGGGAAATTCACATAACTGGTGTAATCTGATTGGTTATTTATCTCGTGGCCACGACTCAGCTATCTTGTGGCCACGACATAGTATCTCGTGGCCACGACTTAGTAACTCGTGGCCACGAGATAAATAAAAACACACACACATGTCACCTTTGTGCCACCGTATAATGTGTGATTCGGTCACGATCTTTTGGTAAGCAGGAGACTGAATATTACTACAGTAGCCATTCTCTATTGTATAAAACTAATAAAGACAAAAATCAATCATGAAAGAAACTTACTTTTGCGTCTTGAAAACGAATTGAATAGGAAAATTTTCGTTTTTAATTTATTCAAGTAAAAATGGAAATTCTATTTATAGAAACAAACTGGGATACCGAAGTAAATAAAAATAGCTTAGATTTCCGTAATATTACTACGTCTGATTCCGCAGTATGACGGAATCGCTCGAATTGTCACGATTGCAGCGGAAACCTAGACTGGTTTCCCGTTCCATCATGCACTAACAAATGAAAGCAGGGAGCAACTTTTCCACACGCCAAAAAATACCTACATTCCTCGATTCTCTAAGGGAGAAAATTCAATGCAGCACTGCTAAAAATAGCGTATTACTCATCTCCCTTTGGAAAATGAGTAATAGTTATTTTGGAAATTTCTTGATTGTTGGTTGGTTGGTTGGTTGGTTGGTTGGTTGGTTGGTTTGGGTTTTTTTTGTCTAATTAATTTTCTCTATTACTTACACAAGGACTACCGACTATAACTGCGGATCAGACAACGTACTCAGTTTTTGTTGTTGTTTTTGTTTTCAAACCAAAGTCAAAATTTCGTGCAGTTTCATCAACATCGAATCTAGTTTTTAATGTCAATTTGACCAACACTTCACGTAAAGGTTAGTGTTTAATAATATGTATTAACAGAAATAATTGGTCAAGCCTGCCGCAGGCAGGCACATATGATTTGTGTTAGGACAGCTTTTAAATACACTTTCTTTATAAAGAACAGCTAACTGTTAGTCGTGACTTTTATCCAATATATTCATATAAGTATTACATTGTGCTGTATAATATCATATAGATACTTTAGGCTATTTTGTGTAACTTGAGTGTTCGTTTGTGTAAAATATACTACGATTTATTTACTTGAAAGGTCTTTTTAAGTAACTGGAAACAATATTTGTTTTTGCTTAGTTTCGTTCTATCAAATGACATAAGTTGAGTGTTGTCCTGCATTTTAATAGCTATGTCTATGTTGTAGCAAGAGATATGATCAATGCAAGGCAGGCAGTGACAAATTGGTTATTTTAGCAATTTTTGAAAAGTGTCCGAATTCTATATGTGAGCAAAATAAGTGATTTATGATCCACGAATTTCTAAGGGATACATGGTATATATCAATGTTTTGGCTAAGCTCACTTCCTAGGTTGGTCACTAGATCTGCATTCAACTTAGCGTTCGACTGGCCATCTCTTATATAGGCGTTAAGTTATCTTAACCGTTAGAGGGGGCCTTGACCGAGCGGTCGGCCATTCAACACAATTCCAAGAATAGACTGTATCTTATATAAACAGGGTTTACAACTCATCGGCCAATTGATCTTAAAGATCCGTCGAGAGTTGAAAATTACATAACCTATGCGTGTGTAGTCCGGTGCATATAATTAAACTTTCAAAATTTTAAACGTAGATTACTCTGCTGCAAACCTCTAATATCCGGGTATGTTGAAAAAGACATTACTCCCCTGTTTAAAATAATCGGGAGTGTTGCTTAGTGCAGTCTATTGCTTGGGTGGATTCTAAAGCGTGGCACATATTGCCCGATCCTCATCTTGCCTCCATGTCTCTTATGTATATTTTTTAAGTTTTTACAGTTATAAGAACATATATAAATACATGCTAAAAATGACATTGTTTTGTTATGGCTTGCTTTGCACTTGATTCTGCCTCAGCCCTCAACACACTACGTATATTTCGGTAGGCACAAAAATAACATAGAACATTGATAAAGGAATATCAATATGTATATCATTTCATTTTAAAGAGGAAGTGTTGTGCATTTTAGCCTCATTTTCTTACTAGTTTTTCCTTGCTTAATCAGTGTATTCCCCATACATTGTTTTATGGCAGGTTAAACTTATTGTGATAGCTTCCGCATCTTGTCTATTCAATCTCTATGTATTTTAGCTCTCTTTTTATTCATCTCATCATCTCTATCAGTTTATAATTAAATATTTTTGTGCCGTATTGTTATTTCTTGTGGTACTTGCCATTTATGACTATTGGATTTCTGATCATTAAAGTCACGGCCTTATTCCACTTAAAATGTCTTGGTTATTATTTCAAAATTACTAGAAGCTGCTGGCACAGTACTCGCACAAACATAAGGCCAAAGCATCAGTGTAGCAAAGTAAAATCAGAATTAAGTGAGTACATGACGGTAGTTTCTTATTTATTTCAGTAGATAAAATAAATTATTTGAAACATCATAAGAATTCATTTTATTGATTGAATTTCTATGACCCCAAGGTGCGGTCGCTTGTCTGATGTTAAAAAATGCATATGTACCTGATTAACGCACTTTTGGGTCAAAATTGGACCCCAAAGTGCGTAACGCACTCTGGGGTCGGACCCCAAAGCACGTTACGCACTTTGGGGTCGGACCCCAAAGTGCGTTTGACCCCAAAGTGCGGTGTAACACAGCTTCACATGTGGTCTCTCTACAAAGTTGAGTTAATGTTTCAATTGTGTCAAAGGAATTTCCTTGTTAATTGTGCGATTGTGAATTGTATTTTCTATCCACAGTAACGCCGGAATGTGAAAATAACGCACGATTCGCAGAATTGTGCAATAAATGGCGGATAACTGGCAGAATTTACAACGGTCAATAATATTCATTATCTAACCGAACTGAAGAAAGGAATAGCCGCATACTACGCCGATGTACGTGAATAGAGCTAACTTTGACCAGTGCCATCTTGACATATCTTGTAAACACTTATATTAATTCAGTAGTTGTAAATCTAATGGTTTATTTAGTTTATAAATAGTGTGAACAGTTATTTTTATGAAAAACAAATACGGTCGTTTTTAACCGAAGTCCAAATCGACTTTTCTCGCATTCCGCTTTAAAAAGGTTTGGCATAGAATAAAACCTGGGACCTAAATTGTCGTATGTCCTACCTTTTTTGTAACTACCATCATTAATTAAATTAAGAAATTACAATAAAAAAGATGAATATATTTACATTACCTTGGAAACTGATTCTGTTTAAATTCTGCTTTGCGGTGACAATTTCGGCAGGTAAAATATGTTTACTTTAAGTAACGTGACAAAATTTATAATTCTAAACTTTTTATGTAAACATAGAAATATGACAAAATTTATCGAACACTTTAATATATATGTAACAAGATACTTCTAGAACAAAGGTCATGTGAAATAAGATTTATCTGGTACATTCTCGAACATTTAATTAAAGGGAAATAAAATCCATACAGCAATGCCTAAATACAGCGTATTAGTTATCTCCCTTTGAAAATATACGATCTGAATGGGGTATACTTTTCACATTAAATTCTACTAAAACTATCATTATTTTGTGAAAACATTATATTTAAATTTAGATAATTAATACTTTTCATTTTCCGTTCACTCTCCCATTTGTAACAATGTAAAATACATGTACTGTAGTATTGAATTGAACAATATGACGTCCCATTTTTTGTTTATTTAGCTAGTCATAATTGTATTCTTTTATTGTGATATAAGTAGATTTTTTATTGTTATTTTCTGTTCATGTGTTTGTTATAACCAGTTGCATATTATATGCATTGGTTTAATAAAAACTGAAACTGATTTTTGTTGTGATTAATCTTTCAAGCACACTCGTAATCCCGGCACAGTGTATTTACATAACATAATATTTATTAAGCATTAATTGTTACAACAGTTATAGCCGTATCAAATTTCATATTATACAATCAATTAAAGGCAAGTACATGTATAACAAAGAATTTTTAGTATTTTGTAAAAATACATTAATACATTATTCCTAAGTCGCTTCTATATAAACAGCACAATTTTTGCAGGTAACGGTATGAAGGCCAGTTCTATAAATACAACAATTCACAATACTAAAAATGTTTTCCGTAATTTATACTAGTTTACTGATATATTAACGTCTATATCTAGAGTGTTGTTTGTTTTTCTTTGTTGTTGTTGTTTTTTTGTTGGTTTTTATTATCTATTTATTATTATTATTATTATTATTATTATTATTATTATTATTATTATTATTATTATGTTTTTATGTTTTATTTTTATTGTTTTCTGTTCGTTTGTTTTTTGTTGTTGTTTTGTTGTTGTTGTTGTTTTGTTGTTGTTGTTGTGTCAATACCAGAGGACAAGGCCCTTATTTAAAATACCCAACTGAATTTTTAGTTATAACCAAATTTAACAGCCTTAGCTGTAGGAACTTTATATTTTCATAGAAAAAATAATGCGTAGAGCATATTCATTTATTTCATATTGAAAACATTAGATCAGTTCGATTCCCATTTTCAACACTATATTTCTTTAGCCTTGGTGCTATCAACGTTATATTCATACGCCGAATTTTCACGTAAAAAAATAATTCCTTTGATTTTTGTTCAGATTTAATTTATTCATTTTACGTATGGTACGTTTTTGGAAAATTAGTTCTTATCCAACAAATAAACTGTAATCAACAGGGTGTGTCATCACATGGTCTTTTGTTTAGGTTAATAGTCACGGTAATGGTGGTACCCGTAATCAAGTTCAATCTTGTTTTTGTTGAAATTATTTCTATTTCTGTAATTTCATGTAATCCAAATTTATTTGAAAAAAATTCTCTGAACAAACCACAACTTTAATGGATATAATATTGGTTCTGCTAGACGCTACATTAAAATACATGTAAACCACAATGCTGCATTGAACTGTAGTAACTTCCAGCAAAAATAATATCACTAACAACAAGCGTAATGAAAGTTCCAGCATTGCATAATGACTATATCTGGGGATACGGACAATCATGTCTATTATGTGTAAATTTCATGGGGGAGGGGCTTTCGTCCACATTGTCATTTTTAGATGGGGGGGGGGCTTTTGTCCTACACTACTGATTCCGTACAACAATAGTATTGCCAGTAGAACATGTAACCGTAAGCATGCATTGACTATTTTTACCTAAGCAACATTCAATAATATTTTAATATTTAATGCTTAAAATAGATAATAGGTTTATCCGGTGATGGGAGCGTAAAACATATTGAAATGTTTCGTTTTCGCGCTTTCCTGTTTTCCTTTGTCTCGTTTCCTAAATCAATCATATTTCTAACATGGTGTTTTTATACAACATTCTACTGTTAAATGGTTCAATATAGTCTAAAACAACGATAGATATAACAAATAAATACAAATGTACAATGAAAAGCAGAATTTATTGTGTTTTTGTTTTTTGTAAATGAAATTATTATGGGCGTTTACAATGACATTTGTGATGTGCATCACATGCTGGAACGTGGTCGCCATGGCAATGGGTGGCGGGACAGTCAGCGTCTGCCATACACTCGTTACCTAAAATATAAGTAAAATCTATTTTATATCAGTCTAGCATTAAATTAAGTTTAATACTTATTAATCTTTATATATTAAGTGAACAGTGCATGATCAAGTACCTAAAAAGACAGTACGTAAAAATAGAGAATGTGTCTTCTCCAGAACAGAACAGAACAGAACAACAATTTTATTCATGACTTGTCATCACATATACAAATATTATACAAAATGCATAATTGTCACAGTGAAATATTTACATTACATATCAATTATCATATGAAGATGAACTATAATTGATTATAAGTAAATGTAGTTCTAAGAGATAATGCATTTTTAATATACAAAGCTAGATTTTTCAAAAGTAACTTGTTAGTTGAATTTAAAAGATCTTAAAACTTATGAACGCTAGGTCTAACGTAGTAATAAGGTTTAATATATGTTTTTCTAAGCTCAACATAACATGGACAAATGATAATAAAATTGTATTAGTCTTCCAAATCGTGCATGTTACAATAAACGCAATAACGTTCGTTCCTAGGTAACCTATTATTTCCAAACCTGCCAGTATGAATAAGTAAAGGGTGAGAAGACATTCTGATTTTACTAATAAAAATCTCAAATTGCTTGGTAATTTTATTCACAAAGTCTAGACCATATTTTTGTCATTCCTACACATCATCATCTAACTTATTGGAGGCCTTTAAACGTTTCCGTAATTATTCTCTTTTGTCAACATATATTAATGGTACTTACAATGACAGTGTCCATGTTCGTTACAGACTGCAGTACCCTTGTCACAAGTACAGTCAGTGGCTACTGTTGCTGCTGTGCAGGCTGTTACTGGGAAAAAAAGATTTAGCTCACGGTTCTATATTAAATTGATACTTTTAAAAATTTAAAACATACAAAAAATAGTGCGTGTTAATTGTCAATGAAACGAATGGTGTATAAAAATGTATTTTACCGGAAAGAAAACGATAAAACATGACTAATATTCGGGTTCGTAAGTCATTCATTTTCAAAGTGATCTATGTATTTTGAATTTTTTGAAAGTTAGAAAGATTTAAAACAGGACAAAAACAGTCCTTGGGGTTGCAATGTGCTACACATAAAATAACAATTTAAGTTACAGTAAACTTTAAATAGAGAACATGTGCTGTTTTATAGGATGACCGGAAGCTCCGAACTTATTCACTTACTTTGACCCATCTCCAAAAACGTAGAAAATCTTTTGCACTTTCGAGGCTTTGTCATAGGTGTCAAAACATTCTCAATTTATTTGCAAATTGCAACATTTTGTCTACATTTATTTAAAATCCAAAAGTATGTAATTTTTATAAATGAATGAGAAGTAATTTGTTTATATCTTTAAATTGTAATTTGTTTATATCTTTAAATTGTAACTTGTTTATATCTTTAAATTGTAATTTGTTTATATCTTTAAATTGTAATTTGTTTATATCTTTAAATTATACTTAAAATCGATGACGTACATAAAGAATACAGGATGAGTTATTTAGTTGTTTTCAAAACTAAAATAAATGCTATAAACATATTGCAAACATTTATGCAATATTCTTCAATATAAAAAGGTAATTTAGTGAAATGCTCGATGAATTTGACATTTTGAATGCTTCAAAATGTATCAAACGTTTGAACATGTTCTTTTGTAAATTTAAACGTATGGACATGTAATTTTGTATATCAAAATAAGACGAAGCCTTACATACCAGCACGTTTTCCATGACTTCCACACTCGCAATGACCTTGCGAATTGCATATTCCGTTTTGACCTTCTGGGCAAACACAGTCGTGGGGATTGCAATGTGCAGCACGCTTCACTGTTGATAATGTGTGAAAAAAATAATAGCATCTGATAAATTAAACTTGGTTAGCTCAATGGGTATCGGGCGACCAGGGTTCGATTCCCGGATTGTGAAGGAAAGGCTGTGATTGATCATGAAATGCTTTCTACTATCATTCGCACTGTACCTCTTCTCTGGCATGTACAGAAGTTATCAGTTGCTTGCGAAGTTAAGGCACCTAGTACTACTAAACTGCTTGACAGTCTGCCCAATAACGATGCCGTAGCTGAAGTGTGCTCTTGTGTATTCAAAGTGGCTTTCTGCCGTGATTTGGAATATAAACAACGACCATCACCAACACCAATAAATTTAATTTAAAACGGGCCCTATTTCAAAGGATGACCACCAGTCCATATAAAGATATTCATGAAAAGTAGAAAAAGCTGATATATACTCAATTTCAATGAAAACATTAACTTAATGTGTTAAGTTTTAGGTCGCATCAACACTTTTAAAGTCATATGGCGACTTCCCAGCTTAACTTGTGAAGGAAGACCTCAGGTGAACCTCCGTGCATTATTTCACGCACAAACGGTAACATGAGTAGAACCACCGACGTCCGATATGGTAGCTGGATAACTTCCCCATATGAAAGTATCGAAATCTCTTGGCGGGATTCGAACCAGCAGGATGTTGATTTGAAATGAACAGTCACCTACGACCCGAAATTTCAGTGAAAACAATGTTTAGTGTTAATGAAATACGTCATTTTATAATTCAAATATAATTTTCTGTCAAAGTAATATGAAAAGATTCTGCAGTATAAAAAACTGCTTACCACTGTGTATGGAAACACATTTGCACATAAAATCGATGCAGACATGCCTATGCGTATGAGAGTTACATCTAGGGCAGTCGCTGTCTTGAACACATTGTAGGCGAAGTTGGGCCGCAACAAAACCTTATAAATATAAAATTATAATTTTGTAAGCGTTAACACATCCGTTAATCGGTTGCAAATAAACACTTTGAATATATCTTGTTTTGTTTGCTTTTACGGCGCATCCACACAATTTAGAAACAGGAATATCTTGGTAATCCGGCTTAAAACGAGTTCAATGCGTGCAGGTTGGGAAAATAACACGAACGTGTACATTAACTGAGATATATTATTAACCTACCTATTTAAAGAGGGATACTTTTGGAATGAAACCATTAACCATGCCAAGTATTGACTAATATATGATCACTCGATAACGTCAATTTAAAAAGCTGGCGGATATACAGCTGCTAACATTGACCAGTGCCATCTTGATAAATTTCGTAAACACTTATATTAATTCAATAGTTGTAAATCTAATGGTTAATTTAGTTTACAAACCGTTTAAACATATTTTTTTTCTTTTTGAAAAACAAATACGGTCATTTTCAACCGAAGTCTGGTTTTAATGAACAAGTAATTCCTGTGATATAGTTCGGTTTTTTCTGACGCACTTTACATGCTCCTTACCAAACCAACATATGCTTACCAAACAATTGTTACAAAACCAACAAATACTTACCAAACAAAAATACTAACCAAACAAAAAATAGTTACCAAACAAAAAATACTTACCAAACAAAAATTAGTTACGAAACAAACAAATACTTACCAAACAAACAAATTAAAATCAATACCCTCATTCTTGTAGCCAGTCAAAGGAATGGAGCAAACTTGTTGGTCTCTGTTTTTATAAATGTATAGCTTTATGTGAAGATATACATATATTATGTTATCTTATCTATGTAGGCGAAAAGAAATGAGCCGCGTCACGACAAAACCAATATAATGGGTTTGTGACCAGCATGGATCCAGACCAGCCTGCGCATCCGCGCAGTCTGATCAGGATCTATGCTGTTCGCTTACAACTCTATAACAAGTAGAGAAACTGATAGCGAACAGCATGGATCCTGATCAGACTGCGCGGATGCGCAGGCTGGTCTTGATCCATGCTGGTTGCAAACCCATTATGTTGGTTTTGTCATGGCGCGGCTCAAATGTAGTCTTGGTGTTATTATTAATTTTGCACTCATTTGAATGTAGAATTCAATTCGACATCTCTATTGTCGTTCATAAACGTGATATACAGGCAACTACAGTGGAATTTCATTTCAAAATTTAAAAAGAAACATGAATGATACAAAAATGATTATCATTTAAAAGCATTATATTGTAGTCAACAGAAAAGTATGCGTGTGATATAACAAAATACAATATACTGTATGTAACTTAAAAAAAACTTTTATGGGTAACATTTTTCAATCGTGGTATCTGATTTTGATTAAGACATTTCACAAGATTCGAATCAAAGTCCTAACAAAACGAAATATAGAAAATGTAAAAGGAATTAAACAATTAATATGCATATTTGAAACTGCGAACACAGATACCAATTAAGAAGTATCCAGGGAGCTTATTGATACGTCTGTGGTTCTACTCAGGTGCCCATCCGTGCCTGAAATAATACATAGAGTGGTACCTGATTTCTTCCCTCATCATTTAAGCTGTAATGTTGCCCTCTATTTGACTTTTTTTTAAAAGATGTCAGTGTAACTTTAAACTTAATCAACAATATTGAACCTTAATACACAGTGTATATCCAGTAACACAGGAATGTGAATATAACGCACAATTCGTGCAATAAGTAACACAGAATTGTGCAATAAATGGCGGATACTTGACAAGATTTCAAACGCGATAAATAAGCTGGCAAATATATTTTTTGTTTAACCGAACTGAAAAAAGGAATAGGCCCATACGGCAGCGAAGACATCATTCTTTATCTTTCATCACGAAATTTCTTACTTTTCAAGATCATTCGTGAAAATGATGGCTTGACCACCTTTTTGATCGTGACTGTGGCTTTTATCGACTCTTATTAGTACAACAATGCATATGATACCGTATAATTTCAATTTTCGGTAGGCAAGTAATGTTCACTAAACTTCTAGTGACATAGAAAATTGAAAATAAGCTGATAAAATGTGATTCAAACCGTTTTCATCAAGTAACGCCGATGTACGTGAATAGTGCTTCGCGGTAAGGCCGGAAAATGTGATTTTATATATAATGGTACTGAATTATTACACATGTTTTACGCCTTTTATCGGCGAATATAATCAAGTTTTTTTACCCTAGTCAATGTATTTTATCGTAACTTGTAATTATTTCAAATATACTACATGTATAACCTTATTGTCCTCTGCTAAAGTTAAATAAATGTTACCCCACTCATATGGGTTTCTTGTTATATGTTAACTTGTATAGGAACAATTAAGAAATAATAATCTTAGAGCTTATGCTAGGCATCTAACAGGACTTATGACCCTAAAAGATGCCACCAGTACAGAGCATGCTCACACCCATACAGAGTGACCAGTTGTACAAATACATTAATATCTAATAGCAATCTCTCAGTCTTTCAATGACCTGTTCCAAGTTCACAGCTGGGCAAAACCATTTCATAAATTTAGCAAGTAGTCTAAAGGGACTAAAGATAGGTTGAATATATTTTGGTTACTTACTCAATGTATATGGAGAGCTACTATGTGTTTGTGGAAAATTTTATTTATCCATGCCACGAAGGTCTAAAAGTGGACTTCTTAGTGTTAACTATGTCAAATGATTAATTAAGAGTGCGAATGAAGAAAATTTCTATAATTTAACAAAGCCCAGTTTATATCTACCATCTCAATAGATATTGAGAAGTTGATAACCCTTTGCTAGCATATTTTATTATTTTTGCTTTATTTTTTCTTCTTCTTTTCTCATGATACTTTAGTCAATGTACATGTAACTTCTTTTTGTCAAAACTTATTAATTGTCATATTACTTAACGTCCAGCAATGTATATTCAGGGTTAAGAAAAGATTCTAGAAAGTAATCAAAATTTGACTTATAGCATTTACAGCAACAGACGTCGCTTTATTTTGTTAACTTTTAATAATATCTACGGAAACGTTAAAGTGCCTCCATTTGGCGATCATGAGGTTAAAACGACTGATTTTTGTTCGATTTGATCAGATATTTTAACACAAATAAATTCATTTCATTTACAAGGACTAGATCATTTTTTGTCATTCTTAGTCAAATTTTCTCTAGGAGAATTCTTGTCAAAAATACACATGTTTTACAAAAGACAAAAACATACCTTTTCGCCTCAACCCATTACCCGATATACACGCCCTTTAACGCTTTTTTCAGGTTTGGTGAAATAAACGTTCTTTTTAATCTTTGTGAATACAATGATAAAACGTCTATTTAAATAGAATTAAATCAGTCGACTTACACATCATGGTCTCACTTATTGAAGGCCCTTTAACGTTTCTGTAAATCACGACGACTGTACCTCATTATGTCGTTGATTTCACAGGGGAGCGATGGCTTGGTGGTCAATGGGTCTGTCCGTCAATCAGAAGTCTTGTTTCGAACCCTACTAGTCAAAGCCATGTGTTTTGTTTTTGATATGATAATTTAATACTCAATAGGTCAATCAAGTGGACTAGAGATAGTAATTTGAATGGTCGATCAAGTGGACTAGAGATAGTAATTTAAATAAATAGTGTTTTCATCAAATTAATTATATTGTTACACAAAAGTAACTTTCATTTTTTAAAGACACAAAGGTCCAGATGTGTTGCCTCAAACCTCAAAGACTTTTTTATTAAATGTTTAAATGTTTAAATTTGATTTTGTAGCAAGGTGCTTAAGTATAACTAACGAATGATAAATATACAGTCAATATCAAGATTTGGCACAAGCAGAATAACTCGGGGTGGATTTTTTTTTTCTCGTCCGCCGTTAATTTGCAGTCGCCTTTTTCCCCATCATTGCATGCATGTTGGTAAAGCGACATATCCGTCTTAGCTATTTGGGTAGTTTACTCTCATAGAATAAGAAGACGAGTTTGGAATGTTAATACCGTAGTATGAAAATGTGAACCTCAAAATGGACGTCATCCAGTCATTCGTCCGAACCGTTATCACAGGACAAAGTTGTTCCATTTGCACATGATAACTGTGCAGTAAAAACAATATTTGACGTTCAAATATTTTATGCTAAAGGGCTATACATCTAGGTCAGGTATTGTCATTTTGGTTCTGTTAATGACCAAAATTAAATTATGTAATAATAAACAAAGTGTACGTCGATTCAAATACATCTTATGGAACGTTATGGGAACGTGAAAGATATTGAAATGTTTCTTTTTGTCAAGTCGATCCTGTGCATTTTTGTTTTTCTTTTGTCTCGTTTTCTAAATCAATCATATTTCTAACATGGTGTTTTTATACAACATACTACTGTTAAATGGTTAAATATAGTCTAAAAGAATGATAGATAAGATAAACAAATACAAATATATGTAATGAAAAGCAGAATTTATTATTTTTTGTAAATGAAATTATTATGGGTGTTTACAATGACATTTGTGATGTCCGTCACATGCTGGAACGTGGTCACCATGGCAATGCGTGGCGGGACAGTCAGCGTCTGCCATACACTCGTTACCTAAAATATAAGTAAAATCTAGTAGTATCAGTCTTGCATAAAATTAAGTTTAATATTTCTTTAATCTTTATATATTTAGTGAACAGTGCATGATCAAGTACCTAAAAAGAGAGTACGTAAAAATAGAGAATGTGTCTTCTCCAGAAAAACATGAAGAACTGTCTATATACTAACTAACTATATACATGTATATATCTAAATACTATCAGAATTTTCTCCATGTAGTGCAATACTAGAGTATAACGTTGCGGTAACATGTATTCACATCTAAACACTTATTATTTCAAATAACTTGTGGTTTTGTAATGTTTAGGTATAGGTCTAGGCAGAGTCGACAATGTTATACTTTCGATAGATAACATCACGCACACAATACGTATTTTGGTTGTATACGTTTAACTTTTGAATTCACACGGACACAAAAACGAATAAGGTAAAAGGCACAAGAAAATGTGACTAGCGAGGTTACGATCGAAGCATACTGATGACATCGCGCCAAATTCAATTGAGCCGCGTCACGACAAAACCAACAAAATGGGTTTGCAACCAGCATGGATCCAGACCAGCCTGCGCATCCGCGCAGTCTGATCAGGATCCATGCTGTTCGCTATCAGTTTCTCTACTTGTTGGTAAGCGAAAAGCATGGATCTAGATAAGGCTGCGCGGATGCGTAGGCTGGTCTGGATCCATGCTGGTCGCAAACGCACTATGTTGGTTTTGTCGTGACGCGTCTCAATTATTTTCGTCTTGTCGCGCTCCGTGTTTCGCAAGCAAAATGACAAAAACAAGACTTTAAGTGAATATGGTTGGTCGTCTATTTGCTTTAATTTTCTTTTTGTTAGCGACAAGACACTATGCATCAAGACGAAGTAGAATATATTGCTAGCGACAAGGCACCGTGCATTAAGACGAAGTTAAGTGGTTAATTTGGTTTATTATTATCGGAAACGTTTTAAAACAAATCAATTCATTTTATTCACATAGCCCAGACCATATTTTTGTCATTCTTACACATCATCGTCTAACTTATTGGAGGCCTTTAAACGTTTCCGTAATTATTCTCTTTTGTCAACATATATTAATGGTACTTACAATGACAGTGTCCATGTTCGTTACAGACTGCAGTACCCTTGTCACAAGTACAGTCAGTGGCTACTGTTGCTGCCGTGCAGGCTATGGGGAGAAAAAGATTTAGCTCCGATTACTAAATTTTAATTAATTTCGTTTTGTACATACATTTTGTGGTAGCAGTTTATATTAATATAAGATATATTTTTGTTACTATTCTAAAGTATACAATATACAAGAAAACCCATTATCTTCTGATAGATAAAAGCCAACATTACACAAGTTAAGGTTAAAGAAACAAATGAAATAAATAAAAAAGTGTTACTTACTGGCACGTTTGCCATGGCTTCCACATTCGCATTTATCTTGGGAATTGCAAACTCCGTTTTGACCAACTGGACAGCTGGCGTCACAGTCGTGGGGATGGCAACCTAGACATTTTGAAGTTATATTTATATATACTAATGTTGAACATACATAAATTGTTTAAGAAATTAAAATTTTACCGATCTACATCACACGCCAAACAGCATTCTTGATATTAAATATCATTTTAAACATATATTGTAAATTTGTTTCACCGGGGAAACATTAACCTCGCTTCCATTCGGTTATTTATTTCCACGGTTCTATATGAAATTGATACTTTTGAAGATTTAAAACATAACAAAAATAGCGCATGTGCTTTGTCAATGAAACGAATAATGTTTAAAAATGTGTTTACGATACACCTTGACTAATATTCGGTTTCGTAAGTCATTCATTTTCAAAGTGCTCTATGTATTTTGAATTTCTGAAAGTTAGATAGATTTGTGACATATTAAGAAGAGTTTGTGCTTAATTAATCAAAACAATGTGAATAATGTAACTTACCAGCACGCTTGCCTACTACATGGTCCCCACACTCGCAATGGCCTTGGGAATTGCATATGGCGTTTTGACCGTCTGGACAAGAACAGTCCTTGGGGTTGCAATGTGCTACATATAAAATAACAATATTACATACAGTTAACATTAAATAAAGAACATGTGCTGTTTCATAGGATGACCGGAAGCTCCGAACTTATTCACATACTTAGATCATCTCCGATAGCTTAGAAAACCTTTCGCACTTTCGAAGCTGTGTCATAACTGCTAAAACAATCTCAATTTATTTTCAAATTGCAACAATTTTTTCTACATTTATTTAAATCTAAAAGTATGTGATTTAGTAAATGGATGAGAAGTAATTTGTTTAAGTCTTAAACTTTACCTAAGTCTTTAATTATATGTAATTTTGTTAAAGTCTTAAATTGACATATAATCGAAGACGTAAATAACGAATAGAGAATGAGTTTTTAGTTCTGTTCAAAACAAATTAAAATGCTATAATCATATTGCAAACATTTTTGCAATCATCTTCAATACAAAAGGGTTAACTTAGCAAAATCAACTTTACAATTCGTGATGAACTGGACATTTTGAATGATTAAAAATATATCAAACGTATGAACCTATATTTTTGTAAAAATAAAGGTATGAACATGTTCTAGTAAGAGCTTACGAGCACGTTTTCCATGGCTTCCACACTCACAATGACCTTGCGAATTGCATACTCCATTTTGACCTTCTGGGCAAACACAGTCGTGGGGATTGCAATTCGCACGCTTCACTGTTGATAATATGTGTAAAATTTAATATCTGATACAATAAACTTGGTTAGATCAATGGGTATCAGTCGACCATGGTTCGATTCCCAGACGGTGCAGGTAACTTTTGCTGTGATTGATCATGAAATGCTCAATACGGTCATTCGCTTTACCTCTGCTGTGGCCTGTACAGAAGTTATCAGTTCCTTGCTAAGTGAAGGCACTAGTATCACCGTGTATATCCAGTAACGCAGGATTGTGCAAATAACACAGGAATTGTGCAAACGTAACGCAGAATTATGAAATTTAGTGGCTAAAACGAGCACCGCGATATGTAAATGGACCAGTATTTTTAATGCACACCATAATGGAAAAAAATGAATAAGCGCATACTGTTGCTGTGACCTTATACTTTAAACCTCATCAAAAATATTTCAATGAAAATTATTATTTTTCAAGATTATTCGTGAAAATGACGACCTGACTAGCGTACTGATGGCGATTTTTAGTTTCCTTGATAATTTTAACTACAATAACGTACATATTACTTTATAATTTTGTATATTCGATGTAACTTAGACATTTTCCAATCTACTCGTATCATACAAGTATTACACTTAATTTAGCAGATAAAACGTAACTGAGACCTTTTTACGAGATAACGCCGAATACGTAAATGAAGCACTGAAGCAACGGCGGTTATCTCATTAAAAGTAGCTATTTCTTATTTTACCAGCTTCCTTGTATTGTTACACGACACATATAGTTTGACAAATGTCTAAGGTATATGGAATATGAAGTGCAAACATGTTTTAAAAGTGTTAAATGTACATATTTATTTGACGAAACACAAAAGTCACCTTCAAAACGGCGATCAGGTTGTCTTTCTCACTAATGATCTAAAGAAGTAAACATATTACTGAAAAATAGTGTAATGCTGGTTAAAGAATATTGTCGGAGCAGCCGTATGCGCTTATTCATTTCTTAAAATTTTATTTATAATAAAATATTTTGGTTCGTTTACTTATACTGTGTTCTTCATTTTGGCAATAGCGTTGCACAGATTCGGTGTTAATTTTACGTTATTTGCATATTCCTGCGTTACTGGATATCCACGGTGAGTACTATCAAAAATATTGACAGTTTGCTTGGCTGAACAGTGGTCTAATGAATTCAAAGTTGCTTACTGTCGTAATCAAGAGTTAAATCAACCAACATCACCAACAACAATAAATTTATGATAGAATGAGCCATATTTTAGAGGATTAACGAAGGATGGCCACCAGTCCACACAATTCTTCTCCAAATATTTACTAGTTTTAAGTTTGTTTTACAAGTACAAGTTTTTTGATACTTTTATACTCCATATCTTTATCTGTATCAGGTTACAAGTAAGAAAAAGTATGCAATATTTGAAAAGTATAAGTATAAAAAATACCTAGAACATTCTACAAATGCCACAAAATGTCGAATACACTCGAATGTTCTCTACTGTAAGGGAGAAAATTCAATACAGTACTGCTAAAAATAGCGTATTACTCATCTCCCTTTGGAATATGAGTAATAGTTATTTGGTGGAACATTCTACAAATGCCACAAAATGTCGAATACAACTCGAATGTTCTCTACTGTAAGGGAGAAAATTCAATACAGTACTGCTAAAAATAGCGTATTACTCATCTCCCTTTGGAATATGAGTAATAGTTATTTTGGGAAATTTCTTGATTGATTGTTTGTTTGTGTTTGTTCTTGTTTTTGTTCTTGTTTTGTTGTTGGTTGTTGTTTTGTTGTTGTTGGTTTGTTTTTTGTTTTATATTTTTGGGGGGAGGATGTTTGTTGTTGTTGTTGTTGTTTTTGTCATGTTGTTGTTGTTGATTTAATATTCAATAAATATCAATATACAAGTATAAGTACGTCAATAGGAAAATTTTCAGTATTGCAGTTTCCTAAAATAGTTCGGTTAGTCATATGTTGTTTTTGTTTGTTGTTGTTATGTTTTATGGGTTTTTTTGGGGTGTTTAGTTGTTGTTGTTGTTGTTGTTGTTGCTTGAGTTTCTGTGTGCGTGCGTGCGTGTGTGCGAGTTGGTTGGTTGGTTGGTTGGTCGGTCGGCCGGTTCGTTGGTTGGTTGGTTGGTTTTTTGTCTAATTAATTTTCTCTATCACTTAGACAAGGACTACCGACTATTACTGCGGATCAGACAACGTACTCAGTTTTATTTCTATTTTTTTATTTTTCAAAATTAAAATCTTTTTTTCAAAATCAAAATTTCGTGCAGTTTCATCAACATCGGATCTAGTTTTTAATGTCAATTTGACCAACACTTCACCAAGCAGTGAGCTATGCTATTAGAAACGTAAATTCTGACAACGATTTAGTACTAAGAGCAATTAAAATGTGAACCAAACCAATTGATCTTGCTGCAAAATCCTTTTCAGAAATAAAGGTCAATCGCTGACGATGGGCAAAATTAATAATGTCACAGCTTCACATGTGGTCTCTCTACAAAGTTGAGTTAATATTTCAATTGTGTCAAAGGAATTTCCTTGTTAATTGTGCGATTGTGAATTGTATTTTCGCGTACACCGTGTATATCCACAGTAACGCCGGAATGTGAAAATAACGCACGATTCGCAGAATTGTGCAATAAATGGCGGATAACTGGCAGAATTTTCAACGGTCAATAATATTCATTATCTAACCGAACTGAAAAAAGGAATAGCCGCATACTACGCCGATGTACGTGAATAGAGCTAATTTTGACCAGTGCCATCTTGGTAAATCTTGTTAACACTTATATTAATTCAATAGTTGTAAATCTAATGGTTTATTTAGTTTATAAATAGTTTAAACAATTATTTTTATGAAAAACAAATACGGTCATTTTCAACCGAAGTCCAAATCGACTTTTCTCGCATTCCGTTTTAAAAAGTTTTGACATAGAATAAAATCTTGGACATAAATTGTCGTATGTCCCAGATTAAGCATCCACCTTTTTTGTACCTACCATCATTAATTAAATTAAGAAATTACAATAAAAAAGATGAATATATTTACATTACCTTGAAAACTGATTCTGTTTAAATTCTGCTTTGCGGTGACAATTTCGGCAGGTAAAATATGTATACTTAAGTTAACGTGACAAAATTTATAATTCTAAACTTTCTGTAAACATAGAAATATGACAAAATTTATAGAACACTTTAATATATATGTAACAAGATACTTCTAGAACAAAGGTCATAGTGTGAAATAAGATTTATCTGGTACATTCTCGAACATTTAAAAGGGAAAATATCGCATACAGCAATGCCTAAGTACAGCGTTTTAGTTATCTCCTTTTGAAAATGGGGTATACTTTTGACATTGAATTCTACTAAAACTATCATTATTTTGTGAAATCATTATATTTAAATTTAGATAATTAATAATTTTCATTTTCCGTTTCCTCTCCCATTTGTAACAATGTAAAATACATGTACTGTAGTATTGAATTGAACAATATGACCTCCCATTTTTGTTTATTTAGCTAGTCATAATTGTATTCTTTTATTGTGATATAAGTAGATTTTTTACTTCAGTTTCAGTTTCAGTTTATTCAGCAAATCGGCATAATAACATGCCTTTGGCCAATTTAACATTTGCAAAGTGAAGAATATGGCCAAGACAACATAAACATATAAATCAGTACATAATACAGTGCTAGTACATAATAAATATACATACAACCTACACAAATTGTCATACATATACAGTATAGTGAAGTGTAATTATATAATGCTAATTAAGAAGCAGCTTCTACATCGACAAATCTTTTCCTTATTTGAAATGCTTCATACAAATATTTGGGCAGTTTTTATATAACTTATTCTTACTCTTACAGGACATAATGTTTGAAAAAATTTTGCCTACTAGGCCCATGAACAATTACCTAAAATTTTTTTGTTCTTCTTTTTCAGAATATATATAGGGCACGTTAACAAAAAGTGATATTCCGATTCAACTAAATTTGTATTACAAGCTTTACAGATTCGTTCATTTCTATGCATACCTTGATATCTACCAACCTCAATTTCTAAACTATGAGAACTTAATCTAAAGCATGTCATGCATTTTCTAAATTTATCTATATTAATACATTCCAAATATTTTTCAAAACCAAAACATTGTTTATACAATCTATAATATTCCAATTTGGACATGTCTTTCTATACATTCATGCCATTTTTGTACATATTGATCTCGTAACCTCTGCTTTAAAAATAGGTGCAAAGTTGTAATTGACCCAGGAAGTTAAATAAATAAAACTACATCCTAAATCATCTACTAATGTTTTAATCTTAGATGCCCAT